AAACCACGACAGACTTCAAAGGGCGTGAGACCGGTGGCCGAAGAGATGTGAAGGTTATGAGACAGCTCAGCCCACAGCAGGTAACGAGTCCAAAGCGACGGTTGGGCGGAGACGAAGTACCTCAAAAAAGCGCCCCAGCTGTTGATTGGTCCGTTCGACCTGCCTGTTGGTCTGAGGGTGGTAGCCGGACGAGAGGCTGGGAGAGGCTCCAATCAGATGGCAAAAGGCTTTCCAGGACCTGGCAGTGAACTGGGGCCCCTGTCGGAGACGATGTCCTTGGGGAACCCATGAAGCCGAACGACATGTTCCAAGAAGAGCTCGGCCGTCCGCCTAGCAGAAAGGAGGCCAGCCAGTGCAACCAGGTGCACCGCCTTTGAAAACCGGTCCACAAAGGTGAGGATGGTGTCGAGACCGTCCACGGACGGGAGGCCGGTAACAAAGTCAAGGCCGACATGGGACCAGGGACGTCTGGGCACAGGGAGAGGGTCGCCAGCTGAAGGCTGAGTCGAGGACTTAGGCCGAGCACAGGTGTCACAGGCGGAAACAAATTCACGGACGTCCCGAGTCATGGAGGGCCACAAGAAGGCACGACGGAGGAGTTGGAGGGTCCTGTTGGGCCCCGGGTGACCAGAGAGTGGAGAGGAGTGGGCCCAGAGCAAGGCCTCCTGATGGCACCGGGAGGGGACATAGAACCTCCCTGCAGGGGTGTCAGGAGGAGCTGGTTCGGTGACCAGCTCCTCCGGATGGAGTCCTCCAGAGGCCACAGAAGGAGGGCAGCAAGCCGATGAGCAGGTAGGATGGGTCCAGGGTCCGATTTGAGGCCGTCCTGGGCAAACTGTCTGGAGAGGGTGTCCACCTTAGCGTTCTTGGAACCAGGACGGTAGGCGAGGTGGAAATTGTAAGACTCAAAGAACAGGGCCCAACGAGTCTGCCTTGGGTTGAGCTGCTTGGCAGTCCGGATATGGATCAGGTTCTGATGATCAGTCCAGATCAGAAAAGGGTCCTTCGCTCCCAGAAGCCAATGCTGCCATTCTTCTGAGGCCCACTCGATGGTCAGGAGTCCCCGGTCCCCGACACCGTACCATTGCTGCGTGGGAGAAAACTTCCTTGAGAAATAGCAGCATGGGTGAAGTTTTCCATCTGGGCCATGTTGAGAAAGGACGGCGCCGGCGCCAACATCAGAGGCATCTAAAATCTCTTTAGAGATTAGTGAATTGAAAAAAATTCTCCAACAATCCTATTACTCTATGCTCTGTCAAGGCCTGGAGGTCTATCCATGCTTTGGAGGGCCGGGCCCATTTGACATCCTCCCTGGCAGGAAAGAGACCTAGGCCGCTCCATAAATGATCTAGTGTCACGGGACCGAGTGGTCTGTACTGAACTGAACTCAGGCGCAGAAACCCAGAGCAGAGACAGCAGATGGTTTAACAATATTTTATTAGGCTTAAGCGCTAGAAACGTAGCAAGGACAAAAAACAATAAGACGTAGAGTCTGACGTGGCGTGGCCTGGGAAACGTGGCTAGGGCGAGGGAACGGGGCCTGAGATGCAGAGTGGAGCTGAACAGGGAACAGTCACCCTGAAGAGAGAAGACAGCGGAGTTAGGGAAGTAGTGGAGGTAGCGCTGAAGTGGTAAGTAGTAAGTATAGCAATTCTTAGCTGCAGTGAGGGACACAAAGTGTTGAGAGGGGAGTGACGAGAATCCAGGGGAGCTGAGTGGCGTGGCAAGGCTGACCTGAGATCTTAGTTCTTCAGATGGAGTGTGATGGCAGGAGGGCAGGCAGGTGAGGCACAGAGTGATTTTTAAAATCATTGCTTGGTATCCTGAGTCCGGAGGTAGAGCGTGAGCCAAGATGAATCCAGTAACTGCAGCACAAGAAAGTCATGTTAACAAGATAAATCACAGAGAGAACTTGAAGCATAAGGGCCTGTTATCAACATGGGTTGATGACAAACTGGTGGTGAATGCACATCAACGTGTGGCTTAAATCCCTCTGGCTTGATTTCCTGCCATTGGCTCCAGGTGTGCAGGAGCTGGAGGAGGTGGCCCTGCCCAGGGACGGATCCCAGGTAGGTTCAGGAGCCTTACGGAAATTCCAGCCACCCACCGCAGACCATGACATCCAGACTGGCAGGAGATTTGGACGTGTGCCTCTAAGATATCTGTCTGTAATCAGGCTAAATGGATTCAGTTAAAAATTGTTCATCGGGTATACATCACACCCTCTTTAAAAAAGTATAATAGATGGAAACTCCTCCCCTTATGCTCGAAGTTTAATGCTGAGGACGGTGACTTTATGCATTGTTTTAGGTCATGTGTGAAAATTCAACAGTTCTGGTCTGATGTTGCAAAGGTGCTTTCAGTTATTTTCAACTCTGTTGTTCCTGTGGTCCCTCTGTGTCTTACACTGGGAATAATGGACAATCTGGTTATCAAAGGCAAGCACAATAGACTGTTCCAGCTGTTATTCTTTGCGGCCAGGAAGAATGTCCTGCTCCTCTGGGGCAGGCCAGCAATCCCAACTAAGAAATCCTGGCATAACATTGTATGGACTGTATTCCCAATGAATATATAACTTGTATGCTCAACTCCACCTTGGACTCTTTCCACAGAACCTGGGACCCATATCTGAAATATGTTGGACCTGTACTGTCATCCTCCTTGTTGCGGGGCTTTCCCAAACTGAATTAATTTGCCTGACTATTGGTCTTACTGTGATTTGTTTTGAGGGGTTGTGGTTTACCTCAGAATCTTGTATTTCCTGAGCTTAGTTCTGTCCTGGTTCTTGTGTTTGTTTTCTTTTGTCATTGTCTGTTTCTATGAAAAAAATCCTAATAAAAATATTTTAAAAAATGACCCAGGACAGTTACATTGTGTTCGTTTAATAAACATTGTTATAAAACGTTCGTTCCTCCTCCAGTCTGGGTTACTGCACTTGGGTTCAGTTCAAGTTACCGGCCTCCGGCCCCTTTTTGACAAAGGGAGTCTGAAGAATTCTTGAAAACAGAGACAACCACCTAGCTTTTGCCAGGCAAGGACACAATGACCTGAATAAGCAGGTAAACCAGTGCAGCCCCACAGTCTCATTGGAGTGAACTCAAGGGGCACAGCCACTGGAGTTTAACTGCCTTGGTGACCTCTCCTTCATCTCCAGACTCTGTCATCTCTGCTAGCTCTGTAGACCCTGTGTTTCTTACACTACCCGATTAGATCCTCATTTGAGGTCAGCAGCACTCCATCCACACCAGACGCGGACAGAAATCCGCCTAGTGTGAGCTGCCTGATGGTTTGGAAGAGGAGAAATCGGGCTGGCACCATCAACTATGAAATAAGATCCTCCCACCACACCCACCATTGTCATCGCTATCACTGCCACTGGACTAGAGCGTCGTGAAAGCATGAACAGGATCTATGATGGAATACAGTGGTGCAGTAATGCTGTTCTTCTTCCCCCCCAATATTTTGGACTTGAATACTGTAGCTTATACACCACAGCATTCATTTACTTATAATTTTACAGATTTAAAACTATAGGTGTACTGCTATATGTTGATGTATTATTGCATCAGTAAGTGTATTAAATAAAATAATATCTAGCTACAGCATTAAAGTGACTCATGAATCAATCAATAAAATCATGTTTGTGATTCTATATAATGATCTACTAATACTGGGTACCCTATGTGCATTTAAAAACTGAATGATACATTACTTAAATTCGGTTGTAAGTTTTTACTAAATAAATATTTTTTATTACTTTTATGACAGTTAGTACAAAACTATTTTCAGACTCTTGTTGAGTGACATTTTCACATGTTACATCTTTATGAGGGTACAGAGGACACATAAGCCTGGAAACTGTGACCAGTGTTTTCTACAAGGATTTACAGAAAATATTTAATGTATATGTTGTTTTATGAGGAGAATTTGACAGATTACATACATGTGTGGATTTTTACTCTTCCTTCTAAACTTCATTTAGTGTCCAAAGTAACACACAGCAACAATGACTGCTTGCATAGCTTGCTCCTATCAAAAATGAGCTAATCTCTCAGTATTCGCTTCTTTTTAGGGGAAGCCTTAGTCATTTTCCTGGTGCGTCCTTTGTATGACGGTGTTGAAAACAAATCTTAACTGCAGAGTGTGGAAATGCAACTTCTCACCTGAAATTGACTCAGTCAATAAAGTTTTCATTCACTTTGTAAACACAGGTTTTCAAAATGTCTCTTTGCAAGTCGCCTTTTTTTCTGTTGTGTTTAAATCTCGTCACTGTTGGGAGTGAAGCAACACGTCTGAAGGGCCCCGTCGTCCCTGTTTGACACCAGGTGTGTTCAGGGCATGTCCCAGGTAGAGAGGGATGTGCTGTGAAAAGGTATTTGACACTTTCTTTCTTTCTTTTTGCACATTTGTCACACTCACATTTCAGATCATCAAGCAAATTTTAATATTAGGCAAAGATAACCTGAGTAAATACAAAATGCACTTTTTAGATAATGATTTCTTGATTTTAAGACTATCCATTGTTGCTGTACTTGTCACATCTTTGAAGACTCTGAAAAATTCCCATCCTTGACTTTCACTCAGTAGATACGGTGGCATCTGCTGTATCTCTACATTATACGTAGGCTGCACAGTTACAGGCTACTACTGTTTAGTGTTCAGCAGGACCTGCAAATACCATAAATCATCTTTAAATCATCTCTTTACCTTCCCAATGACTTCACTTTGCACATTGTGAAGCAGGGGTTAGTGTAAAATAAGGCTACAGGCTTTGGAAATGTGGGTTACAGAAACATAAGCCGGCACCTGTCTCTCATGATAAAGCTTAGAAATGCAGAAATCCACGTTTCTACGAAGTAAAGGAGAATTTTCCTCCCCTGTCAGATCCAGTGTCCCTCCTCCATCAGTTCACCAGGCCCCACCCCGCCCCTCCCAGTCTGCTCTGCTCTGCTCAGCGTGCAGAGATGCTGTAGATGCGGCAGACTGGAAGGTGTTTGGTAGTGGATGCTGCAGCCGGAGAGATAACAACATACTGACAGACACCGAGAAGGACAGTCACCCGACAGCAGTCATTGTAAGATTTTTGTTTGCCCTCTTCTCTCCGTGTCTCCTGCTGACAGGCTGCCCATGTCTTAATCTGTGTTGCACTCTTTATATTAAAGCTTACTTAAAATACTTAAAATGTCTTTTTGAACCGGGTTGGTATTGTGTAACATTTAGCTAGAGCATTGTATTTTGAATGGGCCTAGCCAAAAATGACAGTTTTATCCTGCTTCATAAAGCTAACCTGTGTCTAACATAATCAATAGCTAACATTAGTGACAATAAGCAGATTTTGTTCTACAACAAAGCCTGTTACAAAAATTTTAGTATATTTAATGATTTGCATCTACAGACAACAAGCTGACGATACCTGTGTATCAGTGGCATGTCAGGTGATTTCTCTTCATTGAATAACATATTGTGGTTTATTGATGCCTTACCATGAATTTAAGCTGCATCGGTTTGTACACCGACTCTGCATTTAGAGTCAAACCTGGTCAGAAACATTTAAAGAAAATCAAAACGTATGAAAACACAGTTTATGTATTTTTATTACTCCTGCTTACAATAATTGCAGTTATGCTAACATGTTGCTCAGCAAGGATGTACTAATCAGGGAAGTAATGCAAACTTGGATACAACTTTCAAAATAAGATGTATATTTTGTTCATTAATGTGTTTCAGCTAAAATCATAGATGGAAGCTAAACACTGACTTGTCTGAATCTGGAACTGAAATGCAAGTACAGAAAGGAAAACTGGTGGAAGAATATTTGAACTCAATCTTAGTGAAATTGCAGCGCTCCTGCAACCCTGAATTGGGTAAGTGTAAGACGGATATGGATGGAAAAGCAGCTCAAACATGAACTGTTGGGTAAAAACTGAAGTGAAGCCCTGAAAGAAAACAAGTTTGCTTAGAAGTAAATTGATTAGCTGAATTTTCTCATATTACAGGAAGAAAAAAGAAGATTCATATTCATGTTTTCACTCAAATAATTTCAAGTCCCTACATGTAAAAATTATTATAGCTTATCAGCCTCTCTGTGCTGTAACTGTAGGAATGTGCACAAGCTTTCATGTTTTTTTTCTCAGCCAAAGCCTTTTCAGTGATTTAGTTCTCATTCTTTCAAAGTCATGGGAGACCAGTAGTATTAACATACTTTCTTGGGTTGGAACTTATCCTTATGGTCACTGTTCTCATGTCATGTAAGAACAGCCTGCTCTACTATAAGCTTTAGCAGAACAATCCGACCATGTTTAAGTTCCAAAGAGAAATCCTGTTTTTCCAGCAGATGTAAGGATCTGTCATATTTCACAGAGATGCAACACACAGAAAAGCTGTTGTGGCTTTTTTAGTAGTACTCTTTCCTTTCTCTTCGACGACTTGTTCATGTGCAATAATGCGAGCTATCCTTACTGTATAGAAAGTGACATTTTTATCCACTAAAGTTTTGATATCTTTAATTGCAAGTCTTACATTTTTTAAAAAGAGAACTCCTTTAATCAGCCCTTGTAGAAAATATGTCTGCTTGTAGGAGACAGGAGCAATAGTACAAGTACTTTGGCATTTCAACCACAGATGGGTGTTACAATGCTCGTTGGCTCAAGTGTAATGCCATGTATTAAAAGCTTTATTTATTTTTAATGGGTTGATCTGCTTGTGTGAGATGTGGATGGATTATGAGGCAAACAGATCCAGCTTTGCTGCGGTCATTTCTCCATCACTGTTTGATTCAGTTTGTTGTTGTTTTGTTCTCTTTGTTGTCATTTTCAATTTCTTTATGTTTCGAGTCTGTTTATGTGTTTGCACCACTATTTGGTTCTTTGGGTCTCTCTCTCTGTATGTGTGGTTGTAGTGGTGTTCATGGGTGTTGGAAGTGTCGTGTGCTTAAAAACAACCACACACAATTTTTCATGAGTGCAAATGTTAGTCATGGGATTCCACAAGGTTCTGTGCTGGGACCTGCACTTTTTACATTACTTCTTACTTCCTTAAACATTATTATTACAGAACACACCAAACTTTGTCATTGCTTTGCATTGCTATGCAGGTGATACCCAGTTGTGTTTATCCATGAAGCCCAATGATAAAAATCAGTTAAACCATCTGTCTGTCTGTTTCCTCTCAAGTATGAAAAGTCCGTCTCTGAACCTGCTGTGGCTGCACGTTTCTCACAGTTAAAAGAGTTTTTACTTCTCGCTGTTGCTAAGTCCTTGGTCATCTGATTGTCTCCTTAATATTATAATACAAATTATTTTTAGACAGTTGTTGGTGTGATTTGTTTCCCGATACATATAAAAAGTCTTTCTCTCCAGTGAGTTTCTCATCGTGTAGGTGTACTTCACCTCGTTCTCAGTGCAGCGGCGCATGAGGCAGTCCTCACCTGCTGAAAGTTCTCATTAGCAGAACAAGGTTCATCAACGCCAACTAGGCAATCCATCATCCCGGGGTCAGAAGGACCAGCACGTGGAGGAAAAACCACTTAGATTTAACCTGCAATCTCAAGGCAACAAAAGCAGACTACAGTAGACCAGCTCAAAACAAATTCACTGACACTTATTGGAGTGTTATTAAAGATATGAGTTTTCCTACAAAGAAAAGATACTTGTGTACTTTTCACTTATGTATATCATTGATTAGAGACTTTGATTACTATTTTTTCGTGCTCCACACATGCTTTTGAATGGTGAGTCAAAAAATTGTCACCTTGAAGCTATAACAAAGCCAAAGGCTAACAAAGCATGAATAAAGTGGAACATCCTGAAAGTAGAGTTTTTAGAGAAATTATGTGGTACAGACAGGAGACTCTAGGAAAGGGTTTTGATAATGCATAACTACAGGCATTATCAAATGGAAGGTTTGAAGCCTAATCTTGAAAGTAGAGATAGTGTCTGTCTCCTGAATCCAAACTGGAAGCTGGTTCCACAGAAGAGGGGCCTGAAAACTGAAGGCTCTGCCTCCCATTCTACTTTTAAATACTCTAGGAACAACAAGTAGGCCTGCAGAGCGAGAGTTATTTCATCTAACTGTAAGCCTTGGAGTCAGAAAAAAGTGTAACTGCAGTACAGTAGATAATCTAAAGCAGTCTAATCCCAGGTCATGGAGTTCTTTCCTTATCCTCTCTTCCCTCCGTGGACCTTCCCTCTCTCCAGAGCGGTACAGGACCATCCAAGCTGACTCGTGACACGTTGGCATACATAACATGTCTCATTTCTCATTTGTACCCTTTGACACCAAGACCTCTGGTTTCTCCCATGTGCGTGGAAGGCACGTAGAGGAGCAGTCGATTCCCATACGTTACCTCGGTTGGGTGCTTGGTAGTGTGCCTGACTCTGCAGATTTTTCCCAAGGCAGTAACTACAGCCCCTCCTGCAGATCAAGGAAATAAAAGAAAGTTCATTTTAATCCCCAAGCGGATTAAGAACCCCATGAGTGATTAAATGAGGCTTCTGTCTCAAAAAGGACAAATTACTGTACCACCTCAGACTTGGGAACCATTTTTACAGTTGTGTGTGCAGAACAAAGTAGATTAGACGTATCTCAGTTTCAGTGATCATTAGTCACGTCAGGAGATTGCATATTTCTGCTGCTTAAAGTTCTGCATGGATAGTAGAAGTGGGTTTTGTGTGACGCTGGTCGTGCCTAAGCTGTCTTTTCCCATGAAATGTACAGATGTTTACATTTAATCTAGACTAATGAACTAATAATCACAAGAAAATCTATTCAGGACATTTCCAACTTAGTTATACTGAATTATCAGTTGTCACTGATTAAATCAATAGCTTTTGCGCTCCTCAAGTAATACTTCAGAGCACAACAGCAATACTTCTACATCTTACTGAAGAAACATACAAGCCATGTCTTGTTTTATACTTGGCTTAATGAATGGGAGACAGTCAGAGGCAGCGTTGTACTTCAGGTTTTTGAATGGTGAAATCAAAAACGTTCTGGCTAATGTGAGTCCTGGTGTGTTTTAGAATAGCGATGCATTATGTACAAAACTGAACAAAAGCAATATCAGTTGGAAATATGAAGCAGTATTCAGTAAAGCAGCCAACCGTCTTAGGAGTAACCAACCCGTTCTCACTCCCAAAGCGTAACATTTTACGCTAGGTGACAAATCGTCACCATATTACGTTTTCGGCTACCCACCACGTTCCTAAATGACGACCTCGGAAAAAGAGGAAATATGAGAACCGTCTGGACTGAACTGTCATGGTCCTGGGCCATGTGGGCCCAGTATTCTTAGTTCCTTGTATTTTTGTATTTCGTTCCTTATTTAGGCCATGTCTTCTGAGTTGCCCTGTTGTGTTGTTCCCTAAGTGTTTTCCCTTCATGGCTTTTACCCCCTGTGTGCCCCTCTGTGTATCTGTGAGCCCTCGTCTCTCCTTATGTTTTATTCCATGTTTCCCCTGCCCATTATGTCTAAGTTCTCCCCGTGCTCTCTCTCCCCCCTGTGTGCCCTCTATGTATTTATGAGCCCTCGTCTCCCTTTGTGGTTGTTTCATGTTTCCCCAGCCTGTTATGTCTGTGTTTTCCCCGTGCTCTCTCTCCTCCTGTCTGAACCTCTGTGCCTGTACATGTCATGTTCAGTTCACCCCGCCCTGTCTCGTTATGATTATCAGTGTCACCTGTGTTCCCCGTGTGTGCCCACTTTCCTCGTTTACCCTCTGTGTATTTCTGTCTGAGTCTCCCTCTGTTCGGCGTCGCGTTCTCCCTCATGCTGTGTGTGATTCCCCTGTGTTCCTTGGTGAGCTTTATGTTAGTTTTTCCCAGTTTAGTTTTGTATTGTTTCTCGTGGCCAGCAATAAAGCTGTGTTTTTTGAGTTCATCCCCGTGTGTGTGAGTTTTGCGATTGGGTCCTCATCCTGCCTGCCACACAGCAAATCATGACAGAAGAACGCGACCACGATATGGACCCAGCAGTTCACAACCCCACCGCGGACCTCCAGGACGACGCGACCATGTCGGACTCAGCGGACATTTCAGAGGAGGTAGGGGAGGAGCTGAACCGGCTCTGCCGCATTATGG